AAGAAGAACAAAGACCTCCCTAGGCTCTGGGCTGTGGCCACACAACTGGAAGACCCTCCCTATAATCAGGAGGCTCACCTTCCTGGCATCAGCTGCGTTGTTTCCTCACTGCCTCCCGAAGAGCAGGCGGCTTCATCTATGCACTCGGCAGAGCATTTTCCCAGCGAGGACACCTAGCAACAAATCCGAACACCAACCCATACATCTAATCCCGGCCTCTTCCTCGCTGTCCCTGCTCACTGCCATCTCAGGGTCACAGCTGGGACTTCCTGGGGACAGGCTGGGCTCAGAGAGCGATGGGAAGAAGAGGTAAAAGCAAGTAGAGATGACTGGGAAGGCTTCCCTGTCTGCCTGGGGGCTGGGAGCACTTCCATGTCAGCGTTCCTGTGAGTGATGTGGGGGGATGGGTGGGGAGGAGGGGTGAAAGGTCCAGGAAGTCCCCTGCAGGGCACTTTCATTGGCTGTGTCCATATCTAGCAATTGTGCCAGGCACCGTTTGGGTTAGCTCATGACACCATCACAGGACACCTGCTCTGTGCCAGGCACTAAGGGGACACTAGGCCAAGCAAGAGGAGGAGGACACAGTTCCCACCTTGGAGGGCTTCACCCTGTAAAGGGACACAGACATGCGAACAGGCCTCACTCTAACGGGGGAGCATGCAGACACGCAGACAGACAGCAGTCAGCCACAGTGGTCAATGCACATAGATATATAAGCACCAGGGATGGAGATGAAAGATATTTAAGGGGTAAAATATCCTACTCTTGTGACTGATGGGGAGTGGGGATGGGAAGAGTATGCAGGGAAAATAAAGAACACGGGATCCTTTTCCTTGTGTCTACCATTCACATCCACCTGCTCTGTCCCTCCCTCCTCTGCTTTCAGTTTTCCCATCTGTTCAACGGGGCTGGGAACCACCGAGATGTTCCCTGTGTCCTATTTCTGTGATGGTGTGATATGCCAGGTGTCCATTAATCCTTACTGTTGCTGCCATTTACTCAGCACCTACTATGTGTCAGGCAGTGCTGAGCAGTTTTTATACCTTGCAGCACAGTCTTCAAAACCACCCCGCGGTGAAGGCATTGCTGTCCCCATTTGAAATGTGAGGACACAGAGGCTCAGAGAGAATGTGTCTGTATCTTCAGTGAGGGACCCTGTGCAGAGCGATCAAGAGACCTTGGTCATCGCCCCTGGGAGCCCCTTTTTTCCTCCGAGGCATGAGCTCAGAGGGAGGTGTGCCTGCGCTTCCCCTCTGGGCTTGACCTTCAGTTTCAGGGTACCACTGGCCTCACCCAGAGTCAGTAATAGGTTGCAGTGTTTTGTCTGAATGTCGGTAGGGGTGACAAGGACTAGGGCAAGTGCCCGCTGGAGGTGGGTGGCTGGATGCCGGGAGGGGAAGGCTTAGACTCAAAGACGCATGGATCGGAAAAGGGAGCCACCTCGAAGAAACCCTAGCCGCCTTCCAGCCCACCCGTTGCATTTTCGAGCTGAGGAGAAGGCGGCTCAGCTTGGAGGAGCAGTAGTCTAAGGTCGCACATAAAGCCAGAGGCCAAGCGCAGGGCGCACATCAGCAGCCCGCGGTCTTTCGCCTTCCACTCGGTCCGCGGGGCCCCAGGACCGAACCTACACCCGTGGCAGCGTCCCGGCCCTTCCCTCCGCCCCGCGCTGCGCCCCAGAACCACCCGTTTAAGGCAACAATTAGGGAGCAGGGCGAGGCCCCCTCTCCATCTGGGTAGTTATGTTCTCATTAGGAGCCCATGCGCCCGGCTCTGAGCATAGCGCTCGGCGCAGCTTGGAAGGTGCTCCCCGCTCTGCTAACCGCTGAGACAGAGGCAGGGGAGCGAGCGAGCGAGGGGGCCGGGGCGGGAGCCAGCGCAACCCGCGCTGCTTCGCAGACCGCAGAGATGACAGTGATCGCCTCGGCTCCTCAACTGCTGGAACCGGGAACCCGGCGGAGAAGCCAGGTCTGGGCTCGTTGGGTCCTAGAAGCCTCCCTACGTCCTCCGCCCCACACCCCTAGGCCTGGCTGGGTGCTGGCGGCCCAGAGTAAGACACAGCCTCTGCCCTCGGAGATCTGGAGTTGAGGTGGGGAGGGAAGAGGCAGGGCAGTAAGAGAGGCCACAGTCCAAAGAGGAGGAGCCAGAGGAGGGGGTGACAACTCTGTCTATCTATCCGGGTGTGGAAGGCTCCCCAGAGAAGGTGACGTTTAATGTCTAGGCAGGAGAGGAGGAAGTAACCAAGGTGCCCGGGCTGGGGAGGGAGCCTTTGAAGGTGAGGCTGAGGCTGAATGAGGGGGTGGTCCCAGAACCCCTGCCGGCTGGCTCTGATCTGAAGGGGTTTATTTTAGATGAAAGCAGGAGTCGGGGCCCAGATCCATCTAAGCATTAAAGGACGCCACTGTGAGGTGCGGGCTTCAGGACTGCTCCCTCCCTAGCCCCCGGTACTGAGCTGCAGGCCCTTTCTTCTCGTCCCTCTCAATCCCCAACACACCAGCTGAAGTCTCTGGTTCCCCCAGCTGGAGCCTAATTTTCAGAAGATTGACTCACCCCCACCTGCACCCCAGAGGTGAGGGAGGTGGCCCAACTGTGATATGCCAGGCCCCAGGGAGGCCTCTAACCTCCAGGTCCATGGAGAGAACTACCTACAGCCCCACTCAGGCTAATGGGAGGCTCAGGCCTGAGGATGATGGCAATTTGGGGGACAGGGAACCCCACATGTCCCCAGAGCCCTCTGGGGCAGGAGCACCAGGTTAGCACTTCTGAGCGCTTTCTCAGCGCCCCGTGGAATCCACAGCAAAGTGAGAGAAGCCCAGCCCCAGATGTCTTCCTGCCCAACCGGCACCAAACAAGGTTGGAGGGTGAGGACAGGGTGTTGAACCTTGGGAAAGAAATGCCCATATTGTGTGGATAGGACATCTTCCCAGGGGAGACAGCCTTTTAGCTTAACTTCTTAGGTCCTCAGCAGAACAGGATTTTGCAAAGTGGAGGAGAGAAAGGGTACTTCAACTTCAAAGAAGCAGCAAGTGTGGAGGCAGAAAGACAGTAATGGGAGACAGGTTCATCAAACGGCATGGGGAAGGGTCACCAGGTGACGGAAGAAGAGAGTGGAGATTGAGAAGGGTCTCCAATACCAAGTTCGGATGTTCGGGGAGGCAGGGACCCTCCCCCAGGAAGGAGGCCAGCTGGAGCCAGAGCAGAATCAAGGGAGAACCTCTCCCCTCTCCTTCCCACCTGGGGACAATTTGTCTCCACTGTATTCACCTGCCAGGCACCAGTTCCTGGCTGCACAGGCTTTCCCTGGCCTCCCCACCACCAGCCTCAGGCCTAGTACTCAGGAGCCGGCACTTAGCAGCTGGGTCAGTACCGGCTGCAGCCAGGACTCACTAACCAAGGCCAAAGAACCTGCAGGCCTCTGGGCCAGGAACAGAGGATGGCTGGATCCATTAGGCAGGGGGGCCCCTTGGAGATGTTTAGATTTCTCCCTGTCTTTACACAGACAGGCAAACTGAGACCCAGAGAGGGGACTTGCCAAAGCCACTAAGCCTGGACAACAGCCTGGTGGCCCCACAGCTCAGGCAGCCAGAAGGACCAGAACCCTGGTGGTTCCTGTCCTCAGGAAGAGGGGTGACCAACCACCGGCAGCCGGGTGATCGCCAAGGCATTGGGGCGCAGCTTCCGCGAACGGTGGCTATCCAACCAGGGCAGCAGGCCGGCCTCCAGCCCCTGAGGGCACGCACCGGTGCGCGGCAGGAGAGCTGGCTCTGCTGGCAAAGCTGTTCGGTCAAGCTAGTTTTGCTGTGGAGCCTTCAGCTGTTCCGGACCTCCCTTCTCAAACGAAAAACTGTGTGCCAGAGAAAGCGTTTCTCTCTATAAAAAGGATAGTTTTCTTTTAAATTCCTTTTAGGGCTCCTCATCCCCACTTCCCTGTAGACTGACAGGGGAGGAGGGGAAGTATCTGGCAGAAAGTAAAAAGCACTCGGGCCCACCCCTCACTCCCAAATCCCTACCTGGACCCCTGGGGACTGCAGCCACTGTGGTGGTGGGGGGTGCCCGCCAGGGCTGCTGGGCGGCTGCCTGGATTGTGTGGAGGAGAAACAGGGCCCAGGTTTCAAACCAAGGCCCCGTGCTACTGAATCTCTAACTCTAACAAGCCACAGGAATAAATCTGAGAAACGTTGCTTATTGTGCTATTATCAACCTCCCTCCTTCCCCGAACCCTGTAGGGGATAATTAAATTCATCCCTGACTCTCAGGCCAGGAAAAAGCCTCTAAATGGGATCAGAACTGCCAGGCCCGACCACCCCTGCTGCAGCGCAGGCCCTGCGCCCTTGGCCGCCCACTCGCTTTCGGACTCCCAACCTCCCCGAAGCTGAAGCGACTGGGTAAGCCTTCCAGACTTAAAACGAAGTCGTTTATTTCAATTTTGCTTTCACATTATGTTCCGATACAATCAAAACTCCTAGATGAACCTCTTGAATAACAAAAGTCCTGTGAATGAGCGCAGTCACACGTCCTGGGTGCCAGGGTAATTCCGAGGGTGGATTCCGGATTCAGAGGTGTCGGTATAAAACATACTGCTTTGGGAACTGCGGAGCGGATGAGGGTTGGGGACATCCAGGGACAGGAAGTATGGGGAGACCGCCGCTCTGGGCAGGTTGGTTCGAGTCCTCAAACCAGGATTATTCCTGATGCATTTGGAATACAAAAAAACTCAAACTTCGCTCCCAGGCCGGCGGCCACGCCTGGCCTAGCAAGATATCTGCCAAGTTTCTTATATTTGTGCCAAAGCAGTGAGCACAGGCGAATGCAGGGCTGGCCCTAGGCCCCGCGCAGGACAAAGTGCAGGGCTGGCTTTTCGAGAAAGCCTTCGCCCCCGCCCAGCCTTTCTCTGGTTGCCTTCTCACAGGTCTCTGCCCCTCTGAACCTCCACCTTTGGCAACCCTGGTCCCCAACCTCGCAGTTGGGGAAGATTCGGAGTTTAGAAAGCTGTTTCAGAAAAATAAAAGTCCCGCTTCGACTTTATTGGATTAAAGCAAAATTAAATCTGGCTATTCACACGTATGTTACAGAGGACGAGGAAGCGTCCGGAAGCACCTCCTTGGCGTTTGGAGGAGCCACAGAGCACGAGGGCATTGACAAGCATCAGAACGTCAAGCAGCCTTAGATTTCACGATCACTCCGAATAGGACATAGAAATACGGAAACGCAGCCAGTTTCCACTGGGAAGAGTTCTTCATATACAAATGATATATATTGATATATTTTTTTAAACCAGTCACCACCAAGGCGAGTCCTTTCTCGGCTAACAAGCAGCCCAGGATACAAAGTATCTTCAGCTAATTAGCTTGAACGGTGTTTTAAGAAGAGCAATACTTGCCAAATTAAAAGTAACTCCCCCATCCAAAAAAAGAAAATTTACCCCCTCTCCAAATTAAAGGGGGGACCATTAGATTTCAGTAGGTAGGATTCAGAGGGGAAAGGGAGAAAGATTTCACCTTATATAGTGAAATACAAAGTTTCTTTTAAATAAATTGCAGGGAATATGAACACGGGAGTAAGAAACAATGACAAGGCGGTCTCTTTCTTGATTACTGTAACCGGAATGGGGAGGCGAGTTTATTTTTGGGAATGGGAGTGCGCAGAGCTAAGCGGAATTCGCTTCTCCTAACAGGGAAACGAACAAAGCTGCCGACCGCACGCACCTCCTCACCGGACACAGCTAGAGAACACACAGGAGGTCTCGAGTCGTGCTGCTTTCTTGCCCTCGTAATTTCGGCCTCTTTCTCACTCCCCCCGCCGCCTTCGCCCTCTCCCTGCCCCCTCTCGGGCCGGAGGCAGTCAGAGCGGAAACACGAGGAATCCGGAGAAGGTCGAGTACTTCCAGCCCCCCATCAAGTTCCCCCGCTCCAGCTTGAGGTATGCGCGGTCGCCTTTCTCCATTTGGATCAGGACTCCGTTGCTGGCGGCCTCCCGGGTCACGTCCTGGTCACCAGCGAAGGCTGAAATCACCGGCCACCCGTTTAGCATGAGGCTCACCTGAGAAAGAGAAAGGCCGCTCGGCTAAGAGCCGCCAGGGCTGGGGCACCGGGCCGCACGGGAGGGTCGAGAGCGGTTTGCGGCTCCGGGTCCGGCGGCGGCGAAAGGCCGCACATCTGGGTGAGAGGAAGGGTCTGTCCCTCAAAGGGGAGTTTCCCTCATTCCGCCTTCTCGGATGAGCGCGCTGAGCAGTCTCTACTCTGCTGTCATCCAATGTAACAAACCCATAGGTGGCTCTAGCGCGGAGACCTTAGACCTCTCTTGCTTCCCCTCGCCTCGAAGGGAAAGTCAGGCAACTCGGCTCCTGGCGCTCCCCGGAAAACAAAAACAAACAAAAAACCCCGGGCCCTCCCAGTGGAGACAGTGGAGAAGCCCCGCACGGCTTTCAGCCGGTGAGAGATCTCGCACCGCCGCGCTCCGCGCTTCGTCGCCAAACCACAGGCCGATTCCGCCCCAGATCGAGCTGCGCCCGCCACCGCCCGGTTTTGCCCTTGCGGAGGCGTCGTCAGCCAGGGCCAGGCGCCCTCTCCCCGGCCGCGCGTTCCGCCCCCATCTGCGCCCGAAGGAAACGCGGACATCTTCGGGGACCTGGGGCGCTGAGGAGCACTGGCTGGGACACGGCTGGAGCCAGGAGGGAGTGGCACCATGCCCCCTCCTCTCCCCATCCTCACCCGCTGGGGCCAAGAACTGCTAGTTAAAAACCCAGAGTCGGTCCCTGGAGGGAGGCCTCGGGGCAGGTGGGGGTTGGAGGGCAACGGTGCTCTGTCCGTGGTGCTGAAGCGAGCACACACGCCGCCTCGCAGCCTCCTGAGCCGGAGCCAGCGGTCCGGGTACTGTCGGAGGCGCTGAAAGCGGGGGGTCTCGGGAAGCTTCCAGAAGCGGCAGCTGTCTGTGGTGCTAACAGCCACCGTTACAGGAAGTCCCTAGAGCCCCGCAAGAAATCTGGGGAACCTCTTCGGAGGGGCCCAGAAAAGGGAGGCAAAAAACTCTGTCTCTGGGGATGGGGCTGCGTCCCGGGAGCCGGCGACAGGGAGAGCACAGGACAGCCCAAGCTCCAGAACTGCGAAGCCCGTCATCTGTCCCTCCGCGCAGCCCTGAGCACATGCAGCTGCCACTTGTCTCCCACCTCCTCCCAGCCCGCCCCCCCTGCCCCCCGTGGCCAGCAGCCCTACGGGCCGCGGCCTGGCCCCAGGCGGCGGCTGACCTGGATGGTCTGTCTGTTGTAGACCTTGACCACGTGGAAGTTAAAACTGTAGATCCCTTTACGCGGGGCGATGAAAGTGCTGCGCTCAGAATCAAAGTTGCTGCCGATGTTCACTAGCACCTACAACGAGACGGGAGCGGAGGGGAGTGGACAGGAGCCAGGCTCGGACTGCCGCCCCGCGCCTCCGCACGGCCCTTGGAGAGCATGGGGCGTCGGCCTTCCACCGACCCCCCACGGTCCAACGTGCATGGGGAGGGTGGGGGACGGAGCACTCACCTGGTCGAAGTAGATGATCATGGTGCGGTTACTCATCTCGGACGGCTCGTGGTTGGTGCTCCTGATGGCAGAGAAAGCCACCTTGGCGCTGCCGGAGCGCACAGAGATGCCCAGGGCTGTGCCCGTGGGGTCGGACGCGGGGTTGGAGTCGCACACCACCAGGCACTTGCCCTCCAGCACGATGGGCTCCGTCTCGTTCTGCCCGCGGGCCGGGCTCGCCAGCCACGCGGCCCCCAGCAGCAGCAGCTCCACGGCGCCCAGCATCGCGCAGCCGGCGCCCCCCGCCCCCCGCCCGGGGCTGCTCGCGCCGGCCGCCCCCCGCCCAGTCCCGCGCCGCAGCCCCCTCTTCAGCTCTGCGCGCAGCTCTGCCGATGCCGCCCGGACGCTGCTG